GTGGTTGAGCAACCATTCACACTATAAAAACATCGAACGGCGATGTAGATATATCCAATGGCATAGCCTCTGAATCAGTTTACTTTGTAGCACGAAACTAGGAGATGTCGTCAGTTAAGTTGACGGTTGTTTACTTTCGGTTTGCGGGCGTTTTCGCGTCACTACTATCCACATGAAAACATCTGACTCTCTCAGAAGCAAGAACACAAGCTTAGATAAGTTTTTTAATACTTTCAAACCTTGTATCAATTTTATGTTTAGCCACACAGAAATCACAACCACAAAAAAATCGCAAATCATAACTGATAAGTAGTTTTTTTTTACGATACGATCATGAAACTGGTGTTTTCAGTGTGGATAGTAGCGAACGCCGCTTTGTTCAGAGGCCCAAATTCGTCGTTGGCGCTTGCAAATCGAAAGTAAACAACCGTCAACTTAGCTGACGACACCTCTACCTTCATTTAACTTCGAAGTTCTGCTTCAGTGTTTGGTTTCTCTCCGCCTGATTAGCGTGATAACGAATCGAAAGCCAGGAAAAAATTTAACATTCACGTTGTTTTAATAAATTCAGGACTTACCGTGAGAAAGTCTGTTTTGTCTCCAGCATGTATGTCCAACAGCGCAGCTAAACTGAATGTCTGCAGAAATGAAAAGAAAGTGCGGAAGGAAAATACGTGAAGATAACGTTAATTTGTCAAGTTAAAGTTAGAATCTATGAGCCTAATCTTCAAAGATAGATAAATAAAACAAAATCGATAGCATGAATCGATAAGGTCTTTATTTTAACAAGTATAAAATTTATTTATGAAACTACAAATTCACCGAAACAAAAAATATAGTATATTTAATCATTCAAAAATTAAAATACCCCATCCATTTCAAACAATTAGGTACTCTTAAAATTTCAGAAAATTCAACCCCTTCTTAATATCTGTTTCCAATAATTTCGTCTCCTCACCTGTTCAATTTTATTTTCATTTATTTTTTTGGAACGGGGGTGGATAGGAAGAATCTCCGGCGATTTTAAAGTTTTTGCTAAACAGTTTGATGACTTGGACAGGTTAAAGAGGAACGTGTTATGCAGGAAGCTATTTGGATTTGTTTATTTATTTATTTTTATTTTATTGCAAAAGCTCAGAAAACCGCTTACCAGCACCGTGTAATCAATGAGTTTTTCTGATTACCAACTAATATCATCTTCGGAAAATCGGATGTCGAACCTAATAGCCAAACTAATTCTTCAATCGATTAAGTATTAAGAGGATTTTAAGTAAATATCGAATGTACTTACGCAGAGCAAAGACAAAGCGATAAAGAATTTGCATAACATGATTACTTCGCGCCTACCTCCCAACAAGTCACAATTCAAAATGCGAATTATAGTGCACACCGACGCTGTTTGATTTTTTTATGTTCCACCACACTCAATTTAAATGAAATATGATACTTTTACACATGTGTTCAAACAGTGCTAAACACAGTTTCAAGTACGGACCAAAAATGCGCACCTCATCTCCGTTCCAATGAAATTCCAGAATCTCAGATTACATTTTATTTTTCATGACGTAACTAACCAATACGTCTCTTTGAAGTATTTTTGCAACCATTTTCGAATGAATAAAGACAATTCGCAGAAATTTGAAAAAAAAAATGTTGGTTTCCCCTTTGAATCTTCTTTGAATTCATAGCTTCATCTTTTTTTAACTATTGAGGTTAGTTATAATGCGGTTATGCATACTCCCGTTGAGTAACGTTGATCTATTTTTTTGTAAGCAAGGTGGAGAAATGGTGCTGGGTCCACACCATTTCGCGGGGAAACAAAGCCAAGAAATACCAAAAATTAAAATTAGAGTCAAAAATAAATTTTTAGAACTCTAATACGCACCAGTATGAAACTGAGGGGGGGGGAGGAGAGTGTTCAGCTCAGGCTTTTTGGTATTTCTTGGCTTTGTTTCCCCGCGAAATGGTGTGGACCCAGCACCATTTCTCCACCTTGTTAAATACAGTTTCGGGCCACTTTTTAGTGTTTAATTTTTTAATTGTTTTGTAAGTTATCACATCTTCACCACCCTCTTAGATGGTAACATTATGTCGAAGTCAGAGGTGCTTGTCTCGATGAAATAGGAATACTCGCATTTTAGTGGGGAAAAACACATTGATAATGAATTTTCCCTCTTCTAGTTATGCTGTTGGGGGAAACACTAGTCACGAGAAATCAGTCAAAAGGCCAACTGCAGATGCGTTTTGGAACTAATTGGATGTACCATCGGCGCAACTTCCTGCTCTTCTGTTCTCAAGCTCTCAAGGGAGTTAATTTTTGATGAAGATTGACGATTGACGACGCATGAGTAACTCCTTCAGCGTGCAAAGATACTTCCTAGCGTGGCTTCTAAAGCCAAATAGTCGCATCATTTAAAAACCCCAATGAACCATGTGGTCGAGTGGATTATTGACAATGAGTAAATGCGATTTCTTGAGATGCTTGTTTAATGGGTAGTGACGGCGCTTAAAAAACGCCTTCACTTTGAGAAAATACTTCCTAGCGCGGCTTCAGAGGCCGAATAGTTGCATCATTCAAGAATCCCAATGAACCATGTGGCGGAGTAGATTATTATGGAGTAAATCGACGGTGAAACTACCAAACCACGTATCTCGGTTTGCGACGTCGCAGACTTCCTGTCATACTTTATTTTTTAAATGAAAAACTACTCAACGTCCAGTCTTGAAAATTTCTGTGATTTTTCCTCTTCGTGCGGAGAAAATTCTGTGAAAATTTCAAGGAATGATATTCATTTGGTCTACTTCAAAAAAATAAAATGCGAGCGAAGATTTTTAAACACCGCAAACGAGATACGTGGTTTGGTAGTTTCACCGTCGAAATGCGATTTCTTGAGAGAATTGTTCAATACGCAGTGACGGCGCCTAAGAAACGCCTTCACTGTGAAAAGATACTTCCTAGTGCGGCTTTAGCGACCGAATAGTTGCATCATTTAAAAACCCCAATCAAGCACGAAGCGTTGTTGATTAATTGAGTAAATGCGCCATTGCTTGGAATAGATGTTCGATGAACAGTGACGACGCGTAAGTAACGCCTTCACTGGGAAAAGATACTTCCTAGTGAGGCCTCAGAGGCCGAATAGTTGCATCACTGAAAAAACCCCAATCAACCATGTAATGGGAGTGGATTATTGAGTAAATGCGATTTCTTGAGATAATTGTTTAATGTGCAATGACAGCGCCTAAAATACGTCCTATCGAAATCATATTTTGGGGTAATTCAATTTTTACTATGGCCCAGCAAGAACAACAGTTACAATTTGCCTCTCAATAACTCTCAATGGCTGCTAAAAATTATAGTCCAGGAAAAAGTTTTTGCATGTTTTTTCAATTAAAATTTTCGCAAAAAAAAGTCTTTGAAAAGACAGCCTTTTAGTATTTTTAATGTTTTAGCCTTGTTTACCCATGATTTAATTCCCTCCTCATTTGTCCATAAGAACCACCCAAATTAACCAATAGGATCGCTCCATACTCCCTACGTCTTCTTTGTCTATAGCTTTGTCTATCAGTTTCAACAACCATTCCGCTTAGCGGGCCGATTATTGAAACTTATAGACAAAGGTATAGACAAAGACGACAAAAGGGATTTGGAGGGATCCTATTGGTGGAAGCAGGTAGTGGCAATGGACACAGGAGGTAGGCAATAGACTAACTAACGGCAACCCACAAGAAACCCGACGGTTAGTCCATCATTTTCTTCCTTAGTCTATAAGAACCAACACTGAAAAAAAATTCTCGGCGTTTTTACCAAGGTCCGTTGGTACTTTTACCATCTCACTTTTTTACCAATTATTGGTAATTTTACCAAGACAGACTGGTAAGCTTACCTAAAAACCAGTATTTTTCCTGTTTTTTTTTTCAGGTAAGAATACCACTTTTATTGGTAATCAATTCCCGGTAACTTTGCCATTTTATCTCGGTAATTCTACCACAGTCGATAAAAAATATTGGCGTTTTTACCAGGGCCCAGTTAAATTACCGAGAAAGCTCAATAATTTTACCGAGATTTCTCGGTAAAATCACCAATTCCATAAATGCTAATTTTATCAAGAAAAAACTGGGATCAAAAAGAACCCTGAATTCTTGGTAATTTTACCCTTTTTTTAGTAAATACACCGAGATTTTTTTTTTTCAGTGCAATAGGATCGCTCCATACTCCCTCGAGGTTCTCGAGGTAAGATAAGATAAACTAAACTAAACTTTAGATTTCACTAGAATAAAGAGTTAATAAAACGGAAAATACAAAAGCTTGAATAAAACAAACAAAAAACTCAAAAAGAAACAAAATTAACTGGGATCAAAAAGAACCCTGAATTCTTGGTAATTTTACCCTTTTTTTAGTAAATACACCGAGATTTTTTTTTCAGTGCAATAGGATCGCTCCATACTCCCTCGAGGTACTCGAGGTAAGATAAGATAAACTAAACTAAACTTTAGATTTCACTAGAATAAAGAGTTAATAAAACGGAAAATACAAAAGCTTGAATAAAACAAACAAAAAACTCAAAAAGAAACAAAATTAACTGAACCATAGCTTTGTCTATCAGTTTCAACAATCACCCCGCTCAGGGGCCCACAGCAGTCACCGTCAGGAGCCCAAGCGGTTGGCGCGGAACTTTCTTCGGGTACGCTATGCACCGGTCGCGTCGGGCCCCGATCGCACGTGAGACTCACGTGAGAATGCGCGAAATCGCGAGTCAGTTTGCTTCTCGACGCTCGACCAAGCGCACGCGTTCTCCAGCGCACATGCTCGTTAGACTTCGTTCGCGCGATTTCCCGCGGTTTTTCAGCCCGCGTTTTGACAAAATTCTCGGTTACGATAATAAAGTTCCGTTGTTCTTTGAACGATTTTAAACATATCCCTTTGAACACTTAACATTTTTACGAGTTTAGGTAAATTAACTACGCGAGTTGACTTTATTATTTTTCCTCGTTAGAAAAAAAATCGTCCTCGATTTTATTAAACGGAGTTTTATATTGAGGATTTCGGTTAGTTTCGATCAGTGTGAGATACAACTTGTATTACGCATCGAATTTCGAGTCGAAGTGCTCAAAATCTGTGAAAAAAGATTTACGTCGAACTCCTCTCAGGGAAGGAAGTGTTTTCCGAAGGTCCAGTTTGTTTTTTGTTTTTCTTCAAAACAGACAATAAAGGAGAGGATGCCCCGTGGCGATTGAAATTTGGATTAAGTACCTATTTTCCGTGTTGATACTGTGCTGGAGGTACTAAAATTAGACCTTGTGTCAGTTTGGCGATCGTGCTCAAAGAAAGTTGCAGGATGAAATTAATCAAATGTTTTTAAAATAAATAAAACGGACGATTCAATTATTTTTTAATTGATTAATTGTCTCTGTGATTGTGATCCGTTAGCACATTGGAGCACCAAATTGGAATCGTGAAAGCTCGATCAATTTTATCAAAAAGTAGAATTCGATGTGCTACTGGCAGCATTTTGAGGAACACAACAAGTGCGATCAAGTGACATAGTGACATTAAATGGGTGGCTCTTCACAAGTGTAACTTTTTCGGGAGCTCAACAAGTTCCAACGGTTTATGTGCGACCAGTGTTCTACCGACTTCCAATTAAAAACTCAAGAATTGAGAAAAGTATTTTTGGTAAAGTTCCGTCAATTTGGAAGTGTGAGCCATCGCGAAATATTTTAAGTTGCCCAAATATATCTTTGATTGACTATATCATCATGATACTAATCACAAGTGCGAGATGAATTCAGCGACGAATGAAGGATTTGCAAAGCGGTAAAATTGTTGGTGCGGTTTGAAACTGAAAAATGTGAGGTTTGATTTTCGCTGATCGCTTTAGGATACAATTTTTTTTGGCGTGGCGGAAGATGACGAATTTAAATACAATCAGAATCGTCGTTCTTGGCGGCAGCAGATGTGGAAAAACAGGTATAGTACTTTTTTTAAACTTTAACTCCTGCATCACTATTGCATGTATGTACGATGAAAAAAGTTCGGTCTGATGGACCGTAGAAGGACCGTTCTATCTTGGTCATAGGTACTATTCGGTTCATGTAACAGTATTTTTGGGTCTGGTTACTGGTCTATTCAGCCAAACCCTTCCTGCGACCCGGTTCATGATGCCAAACTTTTAGTGTATTTTCCGACGAAAATACACTATTGCATTCTCCCATGATGTCGGACCCAGACCTGAGACCTTGTAATTTTTTTTTTCCGATTAGTTTGGTTTTATGAATCAAAAGTACGCTTAATGAACGAAAGTGCTTGGCCGCCGATTTCAAACCGAGCTTTTTTTCTCCGTGAAACTTTTGGAGTGAAATCTTTTTGGGGAAGATGGTGTTCGGATTCAGAGGAAAAAAACAGATAATTGTTTTACAATAATTCTCAAAACGATGCATGCGATCAGCTATTTAGTCAGTTCGTCTGTGCCGGAAAAAGACTGGCAGGTTTAAATCTCCGAAAACAAAACTGAAATGTTTGTAACAAATAAAATATCCATTGATATTCTGAATAAATTTAAGTGCATTAAATAATCGTTTCACAGGTTAAAATCTTACCAGGTAAAGTTAAATTGATCATGGAAAAATTGAATCGGCGAATATACTCTCAAAAACCTAAAATTTTGCAGAGCCATCAACAACTTCAAATACAAAATCATTAATTAGAAATTCGTTTTAAGTTATAAATTTGTATCAGGTTTCTATTCATGACGCCTTTGAGGTGTCTCATGAATTGATCAAAGTAGGGTTAAAAGTTCACAATAATAAATACATATGAAGTTTCGACAATTCTTCCGAATTCTTTAGAGGAGAAGAAGGGAGGGAGAGGGTTTCTTTACCTAGCACTCCTTTCAAGACTGCCCCAAACAATACAAACTTCTTCCTTATGACTTCAATATAATCTACGGAAGTAGAGATAGTTGCTATGGCTTTGAAAATCGCTGAAATGTCTTTCAGCAATGAAGCTGAAAAATTCCTTATACCTTTAAGAGATAATTGGAGCAAAGCATCCTTCAACTGAAGCGACCCACTCATAATTCCACCAAAACATACTCGAAACTTTTTTTGTCCCTAAAATTGGCTGATTGTCACAAGGATTTTTATTCGCATGACAATTACGGAAAATATTTTGCATTTTAAAGACACGTACTCTCTTTCTTTGCAAGAAAGAAACCTGAATATTTAACAAAATAAATAAATACAAAACTTAAAATTACGCAAAAGCCGCATAGTGTATGTTTTAATTTTCCTCAAAATTTCGTCACAAGACTTGAATGTATGCGAGATATTTTAGAGGTTGAAAGGAACTTATACATTAGATTCGTCTGTACTGCCGTGCTACGGAAGAATGCCGAATGAACATTCGAGAGTTGCAAAATTTCCCCGGATAACACATGTATTTTTGGCGAAATTTGTGCCGATTTTTCGTTGATACTTTCAAATACTTTAGATTAAATTGCGAACAAAATAGTCTGAAAAATAGGAAGAAAATATTTACAATCGAGGAACTTTCCGGAAAAAGGGCACAGAGCAAAAAGTCGCTTGTGAGAAAAACGCATTTCAAGTTTCCATGCATCGTTACTTTTTGGCCACTGATGGTAACTTTCATCGCAGCTGAGGCTCCCGACCTAGAACGTAAGTCACAGTCAGTGGCCATAGAGTAATGATAGGAACTTCAATTGCATTTTTTTCAAACGCTATTTTTTGCTATGTGCCCGTTTTCCGGAAAGCTCCTCGATTTCCCCGATAAATTCGTATTTTATCAGAGGAAATTTTAGCAACACCTCAAGGTTCATACGGCATTTTTCCTTAGTATGGCAGTGTAGCTAAGCAAACATTAATCCTGCACGATGAAGGTACTTTGCACGGAGATACACCTACACCTACAGCCCCTACAAATCGAAACGAAATATCGTTAAACGAATTTTTTTAGGAGAGCCTTCAGCTCTGAATCTCCACCACTGAGAAGCTCTAATTTATTTCTGGATGGTCAGTCCTCCAAGACACCTCCTCCCCCTTCACGCACACACACTTAACTGCCATTAAAAATACTTTAAGACGTTTCACGGGAGATCCACCGCACTCGGCACCTGGCGGCGGTTCCCTATGTCGGTCTTTGACGTTTCAATTCGTATTGTTCCCTGCTCGGGATCGGATAATGATCTGAGGCAAATAAAAACACGGCTCGTAAAACAAGGTTGAGGACCTTGGGCCAAACATTCGAATAGATGCAACGTGCGGTGCACTGGGGTTAAGTGCGTAGAAATAAGGCAGGGTTGTCGGTATGCATTCAAAAGTCGACGGTGAAACTTTCAAACCACGTATCTCGATTTGCAACGTCGCAGACTTCCTGCCATACTTTTTTATACACTGAAAAAAAGATTGGTACAATGGACCACTAGACATGGTACGAATTTCAGCATTCTGATACATGTTTCTTAACCAAAATTTCACGTAATACACGATGCGCACAACAAGAATTACCGAAACCAACTCCTCACGAAGATATTTAATGATTCTTGATGCGTGAATTCAAACCACCCGCTCATGAAAACTCAATACGTGATTCGCATTGCGCGCTGAACGTTATCATGACAGTCTCTGCGATATAAAAATTTGGCAACCTCAATCTTGACGCTTTGGCCCAGCAAGTTACTTATAGGTTGAACAACATATGGTGGGAAATGAACATTGCTCGATTGAGAAGCTTGCTGAAACCGTTGTGGTCTGCGATTTGACTCGCGAAGAGCTTTGAGTTTCTTGTGAGCGGGCAGTTCAAATTGTGAAATAAACACGTTAATATCTTCGTTAGGAGTTGGTTTCAGTAATTTTCGTTGCGCGAATTGTGTTCTACGTGAAATTCTGGTCAAGAAATATGTATCAGATTGCTTAAATTCGTACCTTGTCTAGTGGTCCATTTACCATTCCTTCACGCTATATTTCATACAGTGTCAATTTAGAGTCAATTCTGCCAGATTTTCATCCCATCAATTTTTATTTAAAGTCACTTTAGCCAACCATGGGTCATTTAGTCACTTTAGAGAACCGCAAAATCCCATGAAACTTTGACTGGTTTGCAACACTACATCCATTTCTATTACATACAAAGATAAAAATAAACATACTCCTTTTGATTACACTCCCATAAAAGTATTGAATTAAAAGACTCAAAAGTTTACCATTGCTACGTTACTGGCAGATGTGCACACTAAAAGCGTAAGAATCGAAGAAAGGTGAGAATTTTTTTTAAATTTCATACCTTTTTTTTTCTTTAATATGTGGCAGCTTCGGCGAGGATGAGAGTGCGAGTGATCTGCCTCGGTAATGACCGCTAGTTGCGCCGTATTGGTGGTCTTACGCAACACGCAATGCGCTTCACATCACGCGATCTTGTAGGGCGACGCGAGACTCTCCTGCCACGGCGATGAATGAGAAAATATAAATAATTTGATCTCTTAATAGGAAATTCAAAGAAACGTAGATTCAAACCAACGATTTTAGGTATGGTATAATCAACGCAGGGATAAAAGTCACTGTCCCAACAGAAAAAAAAGAAATAAAAAAGACAATCATTGCTATGCTGCAGCCTTAAGGTGATTCGATGGACGCCATATTTTGTGTCAGAACGACATGCGATATATCGCATCAATTGGTTCCATTTTTTCAGCTAGGTACTCGTCATTTTTCTCCAATTTTGAGATCGCAATTCTGTTGTCAGGAGACTAAAGCACTCACTTACCAATTTTAACAAAGAAATTCAACGAAATAAAGGTGTGGTTTTTTTAGAGAGAAAATATCGCATTCGAGTGCAGTTTCGATATCAGTATCGAATGCGACATTTGCTCTCTAAAAAAACCACGCCTTTATTACGTTGAATTTCTTTGTTAAAATTGGTAAGTGAGTGCTTTAGTCTCCTGACAATAGAATTGCGATCTCAAAATTGGAGAAAAATGACGAGTAGCTGAAAAAATGGAACCAATTGATGCGATATATAGCATGCCGTTCTGACACAAAATATGGCGTCCACCGAATCACCTTAAACAATCAAAATGTGTTTTTTTCACCAGCGTAACTTATCCACCCCAATTTCCGGGAAGCTCATCACTTGAAATTAATATCACTTGCCATTTAAGTTTCGGCCATAGTCCTTCAGACAGTTCGCGGCGGCCCTAAATTCCGGCGAGTGGCTCAAGTTAATAAAGTTGGTCCGGGGAGAAGCTCCGAGTAGCGTCGCGATGTTAATCTCATAGTGTTGGCTATAATCCGATTGCAGCGCTCCCGTGCACGACGCCGGAGCTAAGTATGGAAACTTGCTCGCTCCCAACATCGTATTAACATTCCATCCACGTCTATTTATCCTCCATCTCACTTAAATCCCTTTCTTCTTCGGCAATCTCCGATACGCGCACACAGCTTCATTTTCGCCCGCCGAGAGAGGTCTCTATCGGTAAAGGTGCGAGACTGGACTGGGAGAAAATTAGAGTCCCTTTATACTGAGAGTCAAGACAACCCCCCCTCATGGAGTCCCAAACGGGAATAAAGATTACACAAATTGACAGTTTTTCGTAATTTTTGATCGGCTCATTCTCAAATTCCTTCCTCCGTTCCTTCTCTCACTCCGTTTGTTCCTTGTCGAACCCGTTATTCTTGCAATCGGTGAAAATGTAATCTTTAATCCCGTTTGTGACACTGTGGAGGCCTAAAATACTGGAACCAATCAGAAATGGATTCACATCGTCTTGACTCTCCGTATAAAGGGACTCTGGAGAAAATACACGGGGCAAAAAGTGTTTGGGGTCTTCCCCCAAAATGGATAATTTGTACTCGAATTTGGAATTGCCTCATCTGAAAGTGCCTAAAAAACTGTTTTTGTGGTATTTTTTATAATTTTTTTCTGCAATGGGAAATAGTATAAAATTACATTTAAAA